TCATAGAATTCATAGAATCAGTATTCGAGGTGCGGCCTCACCAGTGCTGAGTACAGGGGCACGATCACTTCCCTACTGGGAATAGTGCTGGCCACACTATTTCTGATACAGACCATGAAGCTCACCATTCAGTGATCTACGACTAGAGTGTAAAACACCTCATCTCTCTGTAGCTGAAAGTTTGGATCCCGGCTGATTTATTTCAGCTCTGATTCCAGATAGATAGACAGAACTCTATGCAGTTTCTAATCCAAATTATGCATAAAGTCAGTCTCTTCGCTTTGCCTCAGTACAGGAGGATCCCATGAGGTTTTCAGAGAGTAAAGTTTTGCCTTCTACAGGCCCTACCTTTTATTCTAAGCCTATGTCTCCCAGAGCACTGTAATTCAGTTGTTCCTTCACTCTTTTGCTATAAAGAGCTTTTCACTTTATGGCCAACAGCCATGGCCACAAAGAGAAATTCCCACCAGCAGTGATTTTTCTGACTGCATTGCTAGTGGCACTTGATTATGGTAGGAACAGAAGTAAGAGCTGGGGCCACCAGCAGAATCCTAATGGTCAGATATGTGTCATTAGAGGGGCATCCCGGATGGCGTTTGACACCACACTCAGCCTGTCTCCACATCATCACTGCCTATTGCAATGCTGTGCCAGTTAGTTCACATGTAGATTTTTCCTGGTAGGGAATGACTAGGAGGGGAAGCAGGGGGGAAGATAATTAATGCTGCAAATTCATATCCTTTTTTATTATTCTTACTGTAAAAATCCACAGTGGCAGGACATTTGAAGTTTCTGTTTGTTAAACTTCAAGTGCGACTCACGGGTCCCAATCTATATACACAATATGCAGAAAGAAATGACTGTGGATAGGTGTTTGATTTACATTCAGGTGAGAAACATGAAACATAATTTGTAAAAATTTCTTTTCGGAATAGCACTAATCGTTCCAAATGTGCTTTAAATTGCTTAGCTCTAGGCAGATCATTACAAGACAGATGGCATCAAAAGGACAGAATTTAGCTAACAGCGGTAAATAAATAAAGAAGCTGAAAGGCTTCAGGGTCCAATTTGTGAAAGAAATGAAAAGGTCAGGCAGTAATTTTACTACATACTACATCTGTATGTCAAGTTCAAACTTGTTTTCAAAAGTGTCCATTTTGCAGCAGCTGCTGTCTACATTTCTGAGCACTCGTCTCTCCTGAACACCCCCTCACTCATCCATCACATTCTCCCTTCCAATATATCCTCTCCTGGATGTCTACAGTTATCTTTCCGTGCAGGAACACTTGGAGCAGCTCTGCTTTCTAAGCTGCTTGCTGCCTCCGAGATCCTGTTGGAGAAGTCACTTTTGCCATTTCGCTTCCAAAATGGGGGAGAGAGAAAGGAGGTAATGCATAGGATCCGAACGGTTCTCTCCTTTTGTCATTCCTTCACTTGTTCCCCCTTTTTCTGGGAACTGATTTGACTCATGGATGCTCCTCGGAGAATTTTGTGGGGAAATTTTTCCCAAAACACTAAGGGCTTCTGGATATCTTCCTTTACGTGTGTATGTTTCTGAGGTGCTTACAAAATTTGGGACATCCATATGCCTGAAAGGAAGAGAAGAACATCTGGAAGGGTGTAATGAAGGAGTAAGGACTGTTTGGTACTGATAGCTTGTCTGTTTGGCTATGTAGCCACATTCCTATGGAAATGCAAATAGCTGCAGCTATGGCTGGATCAGATGTACTTGAGAAGATACTACCAGGAAAGCAGGTTTTCATGGGGTAATTCGACAGAATGATTTTTATATCTAATTTTTAGAGGTTTTTCTGGTCTATTTAGCAGCATGGTTGTTTTGTTTTTTCAGGTATCATACAGGCTTTTTGAAGACATGGGGCTGTTTGAAACCTTTAAAATACCAGTGAGGGAATTTATGAACTACTTCCATGCCTTGGAATGTGGATACCGAGAGATACCTTGTAAGTAAAACTTCCCAGCAGATAACGATGCTTCCTTAAAGTTTTAGGTATTTTCCACACACTTTGTTACTGAAGCCTTTCTTCTCTCATTATAACAGCTGCTTTTTTTCTTCTGCTACTTCACAACCAAATGGACAGCTCTCTAGTCAGAGGCTGGTGCTGAACCACAGCCTCTCTTTTTTTTTTTCATTGCGTTTGACGTTTCATGTTGTTTCCTAATAATTCATGGCAAATTCTGTGCAAGCCTGCAACCATATAAATCTACTATAGGTACAAAGAACTATTTCCTGATGATGCAAGTGTAGCCCAGTGCCCCAGTTGAAGTTTAATGAAACATTTGCCCCCCCGATAAGGAATTTGGATTTTCACACAGTAGCAGTGCTATGCTACCAAAGGAGATGAGCTTTGTAAAGCAAAAAAAATACGCCAAGTAGGTGAGTGCATCCTGTTCTTCTGCAACTACAGCTCGGCTGATATTTTTCAGTGAATCATTTATTCAGTGAAAAACCTACTTTCAGTCATCCCCAATTTACTCATTCAAATCAAATTTACCAAACCGCTTCAACTGCAAAAGACACTTTTTTTCCAGGAGGAGAGAGGGAGTTATTACCCCCTTTAGCTGGCAGATAACCCCAGTGTTGAGGAATATAGGACACCCTGTTTTCTCCTACATCCCAGAAAAATATCTGAAACATTGGTTTAACAAGTCATGCAGTCTCTCTCTCTTAATATTAAATACCAATTGGAACAGCTACAGTGGGAGGGATTGAAGGAAAACTACCTCAAAATGCCTCCCAGCCAGGTGGTTTGGACTCTCTTCTGGGAAAATGAGAGACCAAATTTCAAATCTTTCTTTGTGTTTGAACCTGATCAGGGATTTGAAGCTGCAAATGTAGCCCTGAGGGGGTTATAGCTGGATGTCCCACAGTCTGTCTGTCCTACTGAAGCCATTCCTCTTTGTTTAAAACATTTAACTATTCATAGAGTCTCAGGAATTTTTGTGAATCTAGCCCTTCATTTCCTGGGGTTTTCTTAAGTGTGTTTCGTTTTAGTAAAGTGGAATATTTTGTATAATACAAAATTAATTTACCATCCAGTTTTACATTTCTGTGGAGGGGTAAAAACCAAAACAACTTGTTTGGACTTAACCACTTCTTTCTTCTGTTTGCTGAACTGAAAAATGGGTTATTCACATGAAACTAACAGTGACTATCCCAGTTGATTAAATCAGTACAGGTTTCACAAGAGGCTAATCCAGCCTTTACTCCTGAGAAAAGCATTAGACCCCTATGCAGCGCCATCCTCTAGGTTTTACATGAGGAGATTAGTGTCTCAGGAGAGATGTTCTTAGTACTTCGAGGAAGGTGGGGAGAGGAGAGTCCTTCCTTATTTTACTTTCTTCTTTCCAAAAATAACCATTGCTATGCTGCTTACTGTTTTGCTGTTAAAAATTTCAGCTAGCAGTCACTAACAAGTATTTAAAGGGAAGGTCACAGGGAAGACAAAGGAGAACAAGAGAGGAAAGCAAGGGGTAAATAAAAGGGCCAAGTGGCGTGACATCATGCTCACGTTTAGTGAGTAAGCAAAGTGATTGCAAATTGTGGATATAATAAACCTTTCTGTGTTACACCCGTTTGCCCTTGGCAGGCAGGATACTGCTGATTTTAGGCGTAGACAAAGTAGGCAGTTGCCTCGAGCACTGGAGCGTAGGGTCAGTAAGATGGTAAGCCCTCCTCTGCCAGAGCCAGGGAGATGCCGGCTGGCAGCTGCTGCCCCACTGATGGCAGGGGATAGAAATGTGGGCTCAGCAGTGCTGCTCTGGAGGGGGCAGGTGGCTGTTCCCAGCAGGAGCGGGCATTACCCATCCCCTAGCAGTGGTTAGAGGGCAAATACAGCTCTCCAGGGTGCTTTCTCCGTCCCAGGTCTTCTCCTTCCTTCCTCTTCTCCCATAGAAGGAGAGAAGGATGAAGTTCAACTTCAGTGCTGAGAAACCCTCCATCAGCTGCACGCTGCCTATCTTCAGGATGCAGCAGGTATAAAACCAGGTTGCTTACACATGTTGCTGCCAATCCCTTCTACTCCCCCACAGTACAGAGTTTTTTTCACCCCTAATGAATCCGGTCAACTTTACTTATTACTTTTTAGAGAGGGCTTCTGGACTTGTGTGTTGGTAATTTTTCCTAACGAAGGATACATATCATCTCCAGTGTCACCCTGATTCTTGACCATTATCTTTGTAGTATAACCTAGTTCTTCACCTGTTCCCATCAAGCCTGTTCCAGCAGTTGGTTTGCCAATGAGAGACACATGACTGATTGGCATTACCAAGGTGTCTCCAACTAAGATGACTGATTACCTAGAGATGTAGCCAGTTACTGTGAGTTTTACAGATGGGGGTGACCCAGCAGTGGAGTCCCACATTTTTGTGCTTTGTCCTCTGAAATGCATCTTTCCAGAACTGCAGCAGCAGTAATGTAGCCACAGGTTATCTTTTAGATTAGCAGATTTCTTTGTGTTTAGCTAGTCACTGTAGAAGATACCTGTGCTCTTCCCAAAATTGGCCAGAATCACAAGCTGAAATGCTTGTCCTTCAGTGGTTTAACCCCAGATGTAAACTTTGGTCCTGATGCAGCACAGCGTTACCCCTCTTTAAGCATCATGGTTGCTTTTTGCTAGTGTATGTTTAGATGATGTTTTTTGCTGAACTAGCATGTAATTTTTTTTCCAGCCAGTTGTGTTGATTGTAGGATAGTTTATCTGGCCTTAAAGGATTTGGTGGTATGAGCCTTGGGGTGACCTTTCTCTCATTTCTGCAAAGAGAACTTGTAGTAAGCCAGATTACAGGATCCAGGGCCTGAACTCTTATCTCTGGCCAGAAAACTGCAAAAAGAACCTGGTTTAACTGTGCAGTGTACACGTATCTTGAGTTTGACTTTTTTGCAGTGCAGCTGCTAGCACAGCACCTACATCTGCTCAAGTAGAGTCAGCTAAGTGTTACCTGCCTTGTATTTAGAAGCTAGGTGAAATCTGGCTACTGAAGTGGATGAGATTTTCCCACTGATTTCATTTGGATCAGAGATTAACAGTGCGTATTTACCCGATGGCCGTTAACTAGCTAAAGGCAACCACTGGAGTAAAGGATTGGAGCTGGTAGCACAGGTCAGGCTCCTTGTTTAACACTTTCTTTGCAAAGTTTCCTACATTGCAGGTCCCACTGCTTCTCTGCTGTTTTCTCTTTCTTGACTGGTGTGAGACATACCATTGAATGTGCTTCAACTTCAATAAAAGAAAAATTGAGCATTTACAGAATACAGCCATTTTTCGTGCTTGTGATAATGTTTGCTTTGTCTCTGCTCGATTGGCTGCCATGCGGTACCCACTAGATGGTGCTGATTTCCTGCTGTCAGAAATATCCTTCACGTTTAATAGCAGGGTGGTTTGCTTTGTATCACAGATCACAACCGAATCCATGCAACTGATGTTCTACATGCCGTTTGGTACCTTACTACTCAGCCCATCCCAGGACTCCCAACTGTGATTAATGATCACGGGTCAGCAAGCGATTCAGGTATATTTAAATGTGCGAGTATATATGTTGTATTTTTAAAGCTTTTGCCATGAAATTTGCTGTAAGAAAGCCAACAATTGAGGATTGCGTGCAGTACTTGTTATTATATAGACTTTTAAGTTCAGTAGCACGTTGGATGTTGAAGGTGCTAAGGTATGCTTGTGTAACTTTGAAGAGAATGGCATTGGTCCTCCAAAACCTAATACCTTACATTTAACGATGTGCGAATGCAAGCCTTTGTGGTCACCCATAACAACAGATGTTTGTTACCATTTGATTTTTACAATAGTTTTTTTTCTAGGAAAACTGTATTAGTAGTTCTTTTCAACGCTGCTCCAGAAGCAGCGTAGACTTTTAAATCCTCAAACCCTGCATTGTTTTGCTATTACAAAACCACTGGGGCATGCAGGTAGTGCTGTGCACTTGCCACTGCTTGGCTGCCGTGAAGTGTTCCTTTGCCTTTCCTCACAGTCTCCAAAGAAAGAGACTTGTTACCATTTTGCAACTAGTTTGCAAGACCACTCATCTGCTGTTTTATGATTGCTCCTTACAGGAAGCTGTTCTTATTGCATCTTTATATTAACTTCTCCAGGTTCAGCTGTAGCAACTAGAGGACCTGTCTGTATTTTGTGGGAGTTCTGAGGGAGTTCCTGGAAAAGCAGGAGTTTGTTCCGCAGAAACCACTTCCACTTCTGCTTTTTTTGGTGGTGTTTGTGTGGCACATACATATCATTTGTGAAACTCTTCAGGATGTTTTGGTGGGGCGGGAAACGTTTTTATTCCTGGAAAATTTTATTAGCAGGGGTTGTTGGAGGCTTTGTAGATGAGGTGAAATGGGTGGAATGAAAGGGGTTGAGTGGGCTTTTTGGTGTTTGTTATTTGAAAGACATTGTTCAGCTGCATGTAAGATCCATTCAAGCAGATTAAATTAGCAAAGCATCTCACTCAGTATCTGCCTCTGACAGGCATGTTCAAGCTGCTTCAAAAAGAGGCTGTTAAGAGGATTATCAGCAAAGATCCAAAGTCTAGACCTTTGGATTGGAAAACATGCACCATAATTGAATTAATAAATGCTAGTCCATTGTTTTAAGCACTGTTAGTGTCTCATAGACTAATCTATATGGTGAAGCAATTAGAGGAAGGAGTGGGAAGATCGAGTTACCCACAAAGCTCCAGCATGACCGTGAATCCATGGCTTATTGCTAGTAACTTACATAGTTTGAGAACAGGCTCTGCTGGATGGCTGGAAGATCCCCAGGTGGGATCAGAATTTGTTCCTTTCCAATTGTGTGCCTTATTGCACTGGATCATGTGCACAGTATCAGAAAGCATTGAGGTCAGGATGTTTTACTCTTCTGTTATGTATTGTAAATTTGCTCCTTCTCTTTCTGCTTTGTTGCTTCTATCTGTTTCAGTAAGTCAATGGAAAAGTGGTAAGGATTTTTTTTTTTTAATTTATTTATTTCCGCTCAGATTCTGACAGTGGAATCACTCACGGCCATATGGGTTATGTGTTTTCGAAGACATACACACCTACAGATGACAGCTACGGATGCCTAGCTGGCAACATCCCTGCCCTTGAATTGATGGCTCTTTATGTAGCTGCAGCCATGCATGATTACGATCATCCAGGAAGGACCAATGCCTTTTTGGTAGCAACAAGTGCTCCTCAGGTAAATAAATCTCAAGCAGCATTGCTGTTAAGTTTGGAAGGTCTTTGGTAACAGCTTCTCCTTGCCAGTGATGCCTGTGGCTTCCATTAAGCACAAGTCTACCAAATATTTTGAAACAGCTTATCAAAGTGACAGAAATAATCACTTCACTTGGGGATTACCGGTAAGAGTCTTCTTACACACCCTCACCACCCTCAGTTAGTAGAGCTGTTAAGAAAAGTACTGATAAAATGTCTCCGTGAAAGAGAAGCTAATGCTCTGCTGACTGATAGAGAATCTGTAACTGTGAAGTAAGGGAAGAATTATTCTACCCAGTAAGGCACAGAAAGATTAAAATAAAATAAAAAAGCACCTGTATAGTTGACAGGGCACCATGCAAGTTAGTTTGTGCATGATTGTAACACTCTGTTCCTATAGAATATGAGCAGCTGCAGTCTTTTATGAATGTATTTTTACACTATGCATCTGTTGGGGCGGGATGTGTGTGGAAAATAATCTCAGTTTTATAAATGAAGAATTGAGACTTACCTAAGGTTACACAGAAGTTGCTGCCAATGCTGGGAGTTGAATTCAGCAATTCTGAGTCACTGTTTATTGGCTTAGTTATGAGATCATCTTTCTTTACTTTACATAGCCGAACTGCCTGGCTTCAGTATACTCTGCTGAAAAATATTTCTATGGACAAGGAAAGAAAAAAAGATAGCTTAATGGTGAGAAGTCGGCTAGGGATGCAGAAATTCTAGATTTACTCCCCAACTTGGATCCAGACTTCCTCTCTCACCAAGAGCAAGTCACCTGAACTTGCTCTGTATCACTTCCTGTCTATAAACTGATAGTAATACTTTTCATCCTTGCAACATCTTTCTGTGATCAAGAACTTTGATACTCTGGCCAGGTAAATAGATTGATAGAAGACGTATGCTATCCTTAAATCTATTTTTAAGAAATGAGTGCTATAGCTTTGTGGTTGTAAAAATCAACAAGGGAAGTTAGATGATTAGCCTTAATGTATTGTCCCCAGTTTGAAAATAAATTAATGGGAAAAATTCAAATTCTTCTTGTTATTTTGGGGGGTTTTGGTTTGTTGTTTGGGTTTTTTTCTTTTTTTTTAAATCTGATATCACCTGAAATTTGCAGAACTTGTATTTGGCATCTAGTTTTTTTCTTATTTTTCACGATAAGCAGTATCAGCTTCCAGTAATGATAAAGTGCTGCTGCATTAAAAATCTGCCCTCAGGAGTTGGGCCTGGGTAGCAGAATATATCTATCTCAAATGCTTACTGTGCAGTTAGGAAAGATGGGCTGTAAAGCTGAGTTGCTTCAGCAACCTGTTCTCTGGGGTAAAGAATAGATTCTATACTTTAGGATAGGATTGAATTTTTTCATCTCTAGGTAACAGAAAAATACAATTGAAGTGAAAAGCCACTGGAACGTCTGTGTACATATTTGTGTCAAAAGTTACAAAACTTGCATCTATTCTACATAGAAGTATATTTCCAAAAGCTTTTCTTTCCATACACCAAATTGTCAAAAGACTGAATGCTGCTGAAGTGGAAAGATTTCTTGGATGGTTGTTGTCCCCTAAAGTCCATTTTCTAGATCTTTCTTTAGTTTCTGAATGTAATTGCTATCACTATAAGAGTTATGCATCTTGTTTTGGTAAAGATTTAACCAATTTTGGATTTTAGCATTGAGAAATCTGTCAGGCTGAGTGTGTGTTGTCAGGTTGCAAACTGGAATTTCACTTGTTTCTGTGTTTGGAATCAGTCCAATATGGACAGAATTACCAGGTGCAAACACCAAAGACAATAACCCCTGTTAAGTGAGGTTAGTTCTGAGAAACAGGGAAGCACACACCTATATTATATTAGTCATTAATTTGTGGCCTGAAACAGAATAATCTATTGTCATGTGATGCAGTTTAGTCAGGAACCGAAGACCCTTGAACATGAAAGACACAGATTTTTCAAATCAGTCTTCCGATAAATCTTCGCCATCACAACAGTTCAGGTGTCTGGTATTAGTCCTGCCAAAATCACATCTTCAAACCTCGAGAAGTTCCTTAAAAAAAAAAACCAAACAAATCAACCAAACCTGAGCCTCCCTCATGCATCATCCCCACGTCATTCTCATTTCTGCATTGCAGTGTTTCTTTTGCTAAGAGGTTTCTCAGCTTTCAGCTGCCCTCATTGCTTTCACAGGCGGTGCTGTACAACGACCGCTCTGTCCTGGAGAACCACCACGCCGCTGCTGCCTGGAACCTTTTCATGTCGAGGCCAGAGTACAACTTCCTGGTCAACCTTGACCACGTGGAGTTCAAGCATTTCCGCTTCCTTGTCATTGAGGCAATTTTGGCTACTGACCTGAAGAAACACTTTGATTTTGTTGCCAAATTCAATGCCAAGGTAAGAAGATCAGTTCAGGTTTCTGGTGGATGGTCAGAAAAAGGTTGTGGTGCTTGGTAGCATCACAGTGAAAAGGCTAGAAAGGCTGCTGTGTTGCCCTTTCTTCTGAACGTGCTTTTGGCTGCTGTAAAAAATTCTGCTGAATAGTAATCTGGCACTTCTGTTATTTTTTTACTTGTTTAAATATAGTGGCACAGCTTCTTTTCTTATATATGTTTAGTTTTTTTCAGAAAGTGGTTTAAGGCTAAGGATATTGTGGACTATTTGAATGTAAATCCCACTTACATCCTACTTTTCAACATTGTTTTCCTGTTCACTGGCACTTTAGACCTATTAGCAAAGCACACAGGGAAAAAAGACAAAGGTGTTACCAAGTTTCCACAGTGACTAAATACTTAATGTGAATTTTTATTGGTTTAATTGTACTGTTATATTATCAAAGCACAGAAATCATAACAATTTTAAAATTCTAATTTCAAATGCAGTGAAAGCATGATCTTTCTTTCCTACTTCGTTTCAAATGGGTAAACCCCAGAGAAAGGTCACTGAAGATCTTTCCTGCAAGCTCCATTCAGTGAGTATAAAATCGCAACCCTGGGAAACCATTCTTAAAAGTTATTGTACAGTGTCAACCTCACTTATTGGAAATCACCACCTATCAAGTTACTTTAACAAACTCCACCATCCGTCAAAGCTGTTGGCATGTTACCTAGATGATGCCTGCCTTTGGAGCCGGTACTGCCTTCTTGTTCCTTGTGAGAAACACACCACGCACAGTGTGTTTCTCATCCAGGACTAGGACCTCCTAGCTGTTTTGGTGACATAGATAAAATGTTTTCTTGTGGTATTGCTTAGGATGGACCTGTATCCTGAAATTTTGAAGCCTCCAGATGAATGACTGGTTTTGCTTTCCATTTCCCTGTAACATCTGTCTCTTTGTTAGGCTTTAAGAAGCTGTAAAGAAAGGCCTTAAATTACGGTCGGGGGTAGACAGAGAACTGATCTGTAGATCCGTAAAAGTCTGAACTCCTTCTGCACCCCTGCTAGTCATGTCCCAAAACCTCTGGTAATATCGGGGGGGTTCTTTAGGTCCTAATTTTAAACTCTGGGATCATTTTCACTGGCCTAATTTCCTTGTAAAGTATTGAACAGTGTTGGCAGATTCTCATCTGCAAGGGCTACAATGACAATAAAGCACGGGGAATTTAGGCTGTCTGAATACATCCTTTGAATTTGACAGCTTGGACCAAAACCTTCACTTCTGTGAACATAAGTAAGGAATGAAAAAGGACAGGCTAAACCAGTGATTGCTGTGGCTTTATCAAAGAGATAACTGTCTTAACTGTGGAAGAGGACAAGCTCGACCAAAGTACTAGGCGTAAATTGTGGATATTGAAAACTAAATTTGTCTTAAATCTATCGGGCTGGACAATGGTAGGTGTAACCGCTGTTGTAACCAAGCAAGGTGATACCTGAGACACTGCAGATAAATAGGAGAACGGTCTGATGTATCATGTCCTGGCAGCTCACTATAGATTTGTAAGGACATCCGTTAACCTCCTTCTCTCTCCTTATTGCTTGAATAGTCAATGGTCATGCATGGAACAAAAAGTGGAGGAGAAGGTGAACATATTAACCAGTGCCTGTGGCTGAGCCTGGCTTTCCCAGAGTACTCGCTGCCTTAAAAAGAGATTATTTATGTTTGGTTTGCAAAAACTCTTTTGTACCAGAGTGGTCTCAGAAAGCAGACCTGACATGTTTGTATACGGATGGAGGTGCTGTAACTGATAAAATTAGCTCTAAATGATCGCGTTATTGATTGGGTTGCTGAACTGTAGTTTAGTATATTGAGGCTACAGTCAGAGAGACCCTTCTGTACAGAAGTCAGTGTAAAAACATGTAATGTAAGCATCCTCCCACCAGAAAACTTGCAGTCTGGAAAGTACCGACAAGAAATAATGAAGGAAGCTATGCATTGGAGCACTCACTGTTCTCTGACATTAGTTATGTTGGATCGTGTACACCAAAAGCAAAGCCTTACCATGTGGGCCCACTGCTGTATGGGGCAGGGGACCTGCTGACAGAGGACGTGGAAGTTTCATCTAGTCATAGCACAACAACTTTCTATACATATTCAACTATTGCAAGCTTGACAATTAAAGCTGTGTTTCAAGGAGGGATTTGAATTTCAAAAATTAAGTGGACGGTAGAAGACAGTGCCTCCCACACTGGGAGATATTCTAGGAGAAAAAGCTGAGATGGGAAAATGTGTCTAACAGCATTAAAGGTTGGTATTGCTGACTGTTTGGAGATGTAAAAGACCGAAGTCCTCAATGCTTTCTCAGCCTCGGTCTTTGTGGCTAAGGCCAGGCTTCAGAAATCCCAGGCCCCTGAGGTGTGAGAGAGAGTCTGAAGTGGTGAAGACTTACTCTCAGTGAATGGCATCAGCACTTGAACGAACTGGACATACACAAGTCCATGGGACCTGATGGGATGCAGCCATGTGTATGAATACCTGATAGGGAGAGTAAAGCAGATGGAGCCAGATTCTTCTCAGTGGTATCTGGTGACAGGACAAGAGACAATGGGCATGAGCTGAAATACAGGAATCCCCCTGTAAGAAAGGACATGTTTACTGTGATGGGGGTTGTACGTTGGAAGAGGTTGCCCAGAGAGGTTGTGGAGTTTCCCTCCTTGGAGATACTCAAAACCGAACTGGACACGATCCTGAACAGCCTGCTGTAGCTGACCCTGCCTTGAGCAGGGGGGGTGGACTAGATGATCTCCAAAGGTGCCTTCCAACCTCAACCTTTCTGTGATTCTTTAAGGTGACGCTTTTGTTTTAGAGCAGTTGATAGTATATATCACTTTTTATTGCGGGAAGTATAGGAAAAATAGAGAAAAAGAGAAAGATAGCAAATACTTTCAGACATACTTAGATCAAATAGGGAAATAAGCTTGTTACATGTGTCTTCACAGTGCAATTAAATCAGCGTGGCATTTGATGGTAATTTATCTTTGTACACCAATTAGGTAGTAACTTCTTGAAAATGTCATGGAAAGATTGTGTTTGTTTGTTTTCCTAGCAAATGCCTTCAAACAGGCACACCATTTGCTAAATATTAATTTCTCATAATTAATCTCAATGTTCATTGTTTTTCACATAGTTTTCTTTTTACATATTGCTCTACAGCTGATTGTAAATTCCAACCTTGGGTTGGCTCACCTGCTTACACTTGTGATTTTGTTAAATAGCTAAAAATACTGTAAGATATCCCAGGGCAGAACTTGCTCTGTGGATGCATCCTTTTACCCAGGATTACTGTCATGGTTTTCCTTTTTCTGTCTACTAGGTGAATGATGATGTTGGAATTGACTGGACTAATGAGAATGACCGCTTGCTGGTTTGCCAAATGTGCATCAAACTGGCTGACATAAATGGGCCTGCAAAATGCAAAGATTTGCATCTGCAGTGGACAGAAGGCATTGTCAATGAGTTTTATGAACAGGTAAATAAATGCATGTCCAAAGTGGTATCTGCTGGTTGCATGTCTTGTGTTAAGCAGTCCTGCAGCATGCTAGTGCTGGTGATGAGTGAAAATCACAGAGAATAGGGGTGAAGGGGATGGCTAGAGTTACACTAGTCCATCCTTTTGCTGGATCAGTGAAAGTCCATTTGTCACTGAAGCTTCTGATGTGTCCTTAAAGACCTCTGATGATGGGGTTTCTACAGGCTTAACTGTTCCAGTCTGGCACTATCCTTACAGTGGACATGGCGAACAAGTGTTCCATTCCTCTTTTTTTGCTGTTGGCAGTCGTCTTGTCTCCCTTTCAGTCTTCTTTAGTGCAGACTATCTTTTCATCCTTCCTTCTATGTCTTTTCAAGACATCAGCTGGTTCTCATTGCTCTCCTCTGCAGTCACTCCAGGTGGCTCACACTTTTATTGACATGCGGTCTCCAAAACTGGAGAGTTTTCACGTCTCTCTTCACACACACAGAACCTTTATGTACTGAGCACGACTGTAACATTGACTTTCAGTTTATCACAGACTAACCGTATCTGCTCCCTACATGTTGATCCTGACGCATACTTTATTTTTTAAGACAACACTTTCAGCTTTCAGAAAGCTTTTCAGTCAGTACAACTGCAGTAATTATGCAAGGCTCAGCTGATGGTAGCACGAGGAAGGAGGACAGCCACAGATTGATTTACAAAGACCTGGGAATACAGCCAGGCACTGGTCCTCTCCTGCCAGGTGTAAGGGAGCCCTTAATTGAACCTTTTCTCATTATAACCTATTTAGCCTGCCGAGCGCAAGGGACAGGGCTTTTCCCACACTATTCCTCTGTTTCCCGAGTGGGAACATATTTTGAATGTGCTGGTTAGACTAAACTCCCCATCCTGTCTTTTCAAGAGGAAGAAAGCAGGCTAAATCACTGAACCAGACACCCCACAGACTTCTCAGGGAGGCTGTGCAGTAACTTGAAGTCACAGACTAATCCCTTTTAAAGCCTTTTCAACTTCCCTTAAATTTACTGTACTTACAGTTTGGAAAAAAAACAGGACTTTCTGCTGCTGCTGCCTTCTGGAGTATGAAAAGAAATGGGAAAAGGGACAAAATTCAGACATTGACCTGAAGCTTCTTCATTTATTGCAGATCTCCTGAGAAAAAGAAAGAACATTGACCGTTACATATGTTACTTATATAGTTGGTTCTATTTTTCTTTTCATTTTTTCTTAAAGAAAGAGAGAGTCCCATAACAACAGTGGTCAACCTTCATCTCCCAAATTTTCTTTCAGGAAATGCTTTTCTTCATATTTGTCTGTTTTCATTACAACTCTCCCAACAAATTGTACTTCACTTAATTCTGGTGATGATCATAGCTTATGTGGGTGACTACTGCATGCAGACAAAACCTGTTAATCAGATATATGATATGACTGTGCTTTGATCCAACATAACTGATGTCAGAGGGCAGTAAGTGCTCCAATACATTAATATCGTCGAAGTGTTGGATAGTGAGCTCTGAATCGAGCTTGGGAGGAACACATGTGGGAGGATACTGTATAATTCCACAGTAGGAATCTGGCTTATTTTCCATCAGTCAGAAAGGTGTGCTACTAATGTTTTCATGCTCTTGGAAGCTGCTCCAAAGGACTGTTGGAGATTATCTTTCTTATAATCCTGTAATTAAAAAAAATACATTTGAGATTTATCCTCTCCGCAAAATACGATTCAGAATAACACGTTATCTTCGTTAATGGCATTCCTTTTGGCATGCAGATTGTGGGCAGATGTATTTGAACTCCTGGCTTGCAAATTCCAAGAGGCCAGGTAGTCAGTAAGATATTAGGGTTTTTTGGTTTTGGTTTTGTTTTAATAGAAGATGTGTATTCACTGTATTGAGAAATCAGTACGTCCCAGTGGGTTTCCTGTTTTGTTTTTTTTGCATGGCATGAATTGCCATGCTGACAGGATACTGATGGGATTGAAAACAGAGAATGTTTTCTTCCTAGGACTTACTTTTGGCATTAAGGAGGATAAGCTAGATTCTGAATTTATTTAACCTAGGTTAAAATCTGATTTTCTTTAATGTAATATGCTATGAGAGGTGTTTCAAACCATTTTCACCATGCTTTTGATTATCAGATTTTTTCTGAGAAGGGAAAAGTCTTCATTTTCTCATTTCTAAAAATGAGAGTTTTATGGGAATTGAATTTCCCTAGAATTGTTATCAAAAAGCATACATATGTATATTCAACCTATGCTGTGAAAATAATGAAAAATCTTTCTTGAATTTCCTTTAATAAACACCAATTCCTTTGAAGAATTTAAGTCCTGTATAAAGAAAAACTCCTTATTAAAAACATGTTGCATAGAAACATTCAAAATCCTGTGTCATATTGTTACAGTATGTTTGCTTTTCTTCCCTCCACGTGCTCAGCATACTTATTTGAAGACAGGTTAGACATATTACAAATAATCAAAAAACACACTGCAAAATGTTTCACATAATAAATCATGTTTTAACCGAACATGAAAAAAGAGCTTGTAAACATTTCAATGTTTAAGCTTTCTGCCCACTACTGACAGCTCACAACCAGGAAATCTCAGATGTGTTACTGTAAAGAAGAGTGAGCTGCCACCTCTTCTTAATTTGCTTGCTATTCAAGAATGGATGGCATGTTTCAGTGTTTTGTTAACACTAGTATTTTGCGTTTAATGATTGAACATAACATTTCGGAGTAGGTTATTATAAAAGTAACAAAACAAAACACAAGGAAATGAGACATTTTTCATGCATGCTTCAAAATTTAACTCTCATTCTTTGGCCTTCCCAGATATCAACAAGGTGTTGACCAAATACATTGTCAATGACTTTTGGAAAATTTATGTTACAAGGAGATAAATTCAGGCAATCTTAACGTAATGGAAACTGAAAATGTCTCTCCAACTTCTAATCTGTATTCTCAAATGTAGATCTATGTATTGTATTAAAACATTAATTTGCATGTCAGGCTTGATTAGGGAGATTAGATTTTTTTCTTGGGGAGGTGGCATCCAGTCTTAACATGTCTACTCAGCTGAAAACTCACTGATACCACCAGAAGCGTTGCTATGATAGGGATGAGTGAGTATATCAGACTTGGTTCTGCAGGAAAGTTTTACCTTCTTTTACATCATGAGAGGAGGGAGAAAAAAGTCTTCCTATATCTCCCCTCTACCCTCTCTCCCCAAGAAAAGCTAGCAAAAAGCTTTATGGGAAAGATTTACTGCTTCTGAGTAACCCTTGCTTTCATAGGGATCATTCTAATAGTCCCAGGAAACAAATACTTGTGACCCAAAGCCAAGAGGACCTCTCCATGTTATGTATAGTAAGGACAAAACTAGTAAGAAAACTAGTTCCATGAGATAGCCCTTGCTTGTAGAAGTTCAGTCTTGTTCCCGGCAAACGGGTGGCTGACTACAAGGTTGTTGTGAGCTAACAATCACAAAATCAGAAGGGATTTTTTGAAAATAATGTGACAAAAGGAAGAAAAGAATCATTTTCAAATTTTCACACGCACAGTGTAAAATACAGGACAAGGGCGGTGGGCATAATTTTGCACAGTCATCAACTAACATCCTTGTTAAATTCACACTGTCGGTAATGGGTCCTCTTACAAGAAAAGAGCTGTAACTTCAATTAACCATTTGATGTGATGGCACTGTAGTAATGTCATGCTGGCGTGCTATGGAAGTGGCATTAGAGTTGAATTATTTTTCTTTCATCATTTTTAATTGGTTTGATGTGCATTACTCCTTTTCGTGACATGGTTTTGTTTCATTTACTTCAGAGCAATTACTGCTATTTTTCATCTCCAGGGTGATGAAGAGGCTAGCCTGGGCTTGCCAATCAGTCCTTTCATGGATCGCTCTGCTCCTCAGCTGGCACACCTCCAGGAATCTTTCATCACTCACATTGTGGGACCACTATGTAACTCCTATGACTCAGCGGGGCTGATGCCAGGGAAATGGATAGAAGATAGTGATGAATCAGGGGACACTGATGAGCACGAAGAGGAAGAAACAGCAGAAATGGAAACTTGTGAAAATGCTGAATCCAGTAAGTTGTTCACACTTCTGTTTTTCAACAGAGCAAGTTCCATATTGTGACCAAAAACTAAGCAGCCGTATTGTAAAAGTATAGAGGCCATGAGCTGGTCAGGTTCAATATGGGCCTCTCCAGAGTTACAGTGATTCAGTGCTGTCCTTCCTTGGTGAAGCTCACATGTAGGCAGTTACGTTGGTAATGGAGACGCTGTATGGTTTCAGGACTGATACACATTGCTGTTCGTATCTACTACTCGTTTCTACCTTCAGTTGAGGTTTCTGGTGGTGGATCACCCATCTGTGCATGAGGGCTTTTTAGACTATTTCAGCACTGATGTTAGTAGACTGCAATGATTTCAGTTGAAGAAAGGATGGCTGGGAGAAGATTTTTCAAGGAAAGCACTCATCATTTCCATGAGTTAGCATGATGTACAGGAATAATAGAATGAGGCTCTGAGATGCTGATGCAGTAAAAGAGTTTTTAGCAATGGAAGTATTTTAATGCAAATCTCTTCAAGGTAACGTGTGGAGAAGAGTGGGGAGTGAGTCGGCACTGAGCATTGCTGTGTTGTGTGTTGGGAGCTGCGTCACTTGGCCCTTCTGGCTAATCAGTAACTAAAGCTGATAGTCTCCTGCCTCTCCTCCAGAAGGGCAACAGTGCTGACATTTGTCATACTGAGAGGAAAACTTTGTACCTTGAAAGGAGATCTCAGGAAGTCATTGGAGGAGATTTTTAAGAGAAAAAGCTGCAACTGTAGACCTGTTTCTTTTACCAGTTTAATCCTGCATGCATTACCTTTTCCTCTCTTTCGTGTTCCTCCTCCCTCTGAATTTCCTACTACCATTCTTTTATTTCCTTCCTCCAGGTCATCTTTCTCTCCCTCCCCTATACCTAATCCTTCTAGAAAGCACCAGCCTTAAGTGAACTAGTGAAATACTGATACGTAGCCTTTTCTCTTAACAGCATCACTTTTTCTGTTCTTTCCCACACACTTTCATGCCCTGCTGACTATCATTCCTATTTTCTGTTGGGGAAGCTGAGAAGCAGAAAGATTTGATGATTGTAATAAGTCACATAAAGACGTGGAACTAAAATCTACGTCTCCTGATGTGCAGAATTGACCTTTTATCTCCAGTAAGATCCAGGGGTATACGGGTTGTATTTAAGAAATCATTGCTGTTGTTCACACACACACACACGCACATATTTTAAGTTTAGCAGGTTCACATGCACAAAAAATGTTGTTGAGAACAGCAAACATTAGGTAATATAGTACACACAGGTTTATTTTAGCACCTTATGATCTATCAGCCCTGTAATAGCAGGCAGAGCCACATGTTTCTGTGGCAGACTGGCATTTATGGAATTGCCTACCGGGGGAAAGCGTATGCGATTGGTAACCAACATAGACCCCAAAGCCTGAAACTGATATTGCTGTATTAAAAAGAAAGATGAAGGATGTTCTTGTTTATCCATTGGAGTGTCTAACCTTGCTTTGAAATCCTTAGTTTCCTTTCATCTCATTTCTGTATTCACTTATCTTCTTTATCACTGCTAGTCAAGTCCAACAATGCTGCTTTCAGGTTAAAAACACAGACCATGTCACATTGAAAACAGACCATTTTTTAGTTGTCTTCTGTTTTCCTTTTCACATTCTACTCCATGACTGTACTTTACTATTCAACCTGCTGCTTTTAGGCTCGTTATCTTTTTCAAAACCTTAAAAATGAATGTATCAGAAGTTTTGAAATATCCAAACAAACTCTTCCTACTTCCTTCTTACTAAATGTGGGGTGCTCATCTTCTCGATCTTACCAATGTGTTACAAACTGTTTTCTTCCAGTTCCCTAAATTCTCTGTGACTGTGTGGATCTGAATCAGGAATCTACGGCATCTTTTGTGCCAATATAGGGGTCTTACAGGTCATTAGAAATTTATACCTATGATCACCACAATTTTGGATGTTCTAAACTTGCCCAATGAAACAAAATAAAAGGTTAAGATGTCAGATGCATAGATACTAAGAGATGTGTAGATGTTGGTGAAGATCTTTTTCTTGATTGAAATGCCTTTAAGGCAGGTGGAAATATAATTGTGGCAAAAAACACTTCACCTAGGTCCTGATAATTCACTAGAGTAGTTGAGATAGATTTAAGAGTTATAAACTCTTAAGGTAGCTTAAAATCGTTTTTGTAATTATACAAGAGCATGTAATTCCCCCAAATTTCTGATGCAAGTATAAGAATTAAACAGGCTCAGTCTTTAGTGATTCAGACAAATTTTAACACCACAGCAAGTGCTCGCTGGTGTCTGCAGAGAGCAGCAAGATGCAGGGTCACCCGGGAAACCCGGGAGAGAATGTCCTGCTGCGGCATTGGCAGGATAGGGGCTTCTTATTAGTGCTAAACCTGAAGGTTTCCTACAGGGAACCAAGGGCTTTCTAATGAAGGATTGAGTTGGATTTGGTCTGTGCTCAGTGAAAAGCTCTTTGTTTCCAGTTCAAAAGCTTCAAGGGCTAAACATTTTGGATCCTGACACAGACATACTTTAGGCAACCTGCAAATACTAATTCACGCAAATTTATTTGTTACAAAACGTTCCTCTACGTCACCTTCTTTAAAAAAGAAATCAGCAGTTGTCTTTGGAGGGGTTATTATTTCAGTTCTGTGACTGCCATTGCCACTGTTAATGACCAGGGAAAATTTTCAAGCTGTGTACTGTTAAGGAGTTAACAATCTGTGTTGGACAGACTATATTGACACAGAAAAAAATGACACTTCAGACAGCAAAACACTTGTAGTGCAGCTGTGTCAGGAGCCATGAGAACTACCAGTGGCAAAAACATTTTATAGGTTAACAGCAGGGGACTGATGCTTCAAAACCAAAGACAAGCGAGCTCCCTGGTAGTATTTGTCTATATGACTACTTCTTCAGTGGTCAGACTCCGTTGCCAAAGCAATGTTGCGCAAAGGCTTTAAGGTCATCTCCACTGCGATGGTGGAGTGGTAAGTCTCTGACTTTGAAAAGGGAACATAGGAATGGGTTCCCTCCTTTGATTACTAATGCTTGCTCATGCATTATCCTTCTACAGCTCAGATCAGAGGTAAAATGTGGAGAAAACAAAATCAGGATTTTTTTTCTAGGGCAATTAGCAGGGATCCATTGGGGGCAGGGAGGGGCACAGAATTTAATGTGTGTGTTATGGGGTAGGTTGATCAGAGTCTTTAAGTACTTGTTATAAAAAAATTAGCAGAAACAGCTCAACAACATGTTTTATGCATAATCATTCAAGCACTAGATGTCTGTGTGAGCTGCATAGTCAGGGACAGCATGCAGCCTAAGACAGGATGAAGCTGGGGCTCAAACTGGGCAGGAAACCAGTTTGCTTTCCCGGAGATCTGGAGAGGCATAGCTTTCTGAATTTTAAGACCATTTAAGTTTGTGGTTTTAAAGATCTGTTGGTGCAGTTCCTGTATGTCATAGTACACCTTGTCTGCTTCCGACACCTTCAGTCCTTTTTCCTTCTTCTCTCACAGGAAACAGTACATTAATGTCACACGGTATTTTACAGGAAAGAAGAAGTTCAAGAGGAGGAAAATCTACTGTCAGATCACTCAGCACCTGCTTCAGAACCATAAAATGTGGAAGAAAGTAATTGAGGACGAGGAGAGGTTAGCTGGGACAGAGAAGCAAGGCGCGGAGCAATCCACGCTGCACCAATCTTCAGAACAAATCCAGGCCATCAGGGAAGAAGAGGAGGAGAAAGGGAAGCCCAAAAGGGATGAAGAGGAGAACACAACTGTAGAACCGAACCAATGACAATATTTACAGCAGTATTTTAAGACAGATTGACTCGTGCACAGACTCTTTCTCAAGCCAGCACAGCATTTAGACACAACACTGTAGAAGTATGGGATAATGCGCCTACAGCTGTTTAATTTGTTTCTCTTTCCTTTTTATGGTGAGGTACATTGTTTAAACTCCTATGCTCATGGAAGCTTTCACACTGCGACACCGGCTTTTACAGACTTTCTTTAAAGAGATTTGGGGGTGGGTGGAATGATATAAATATATATATATATATAGCCAGGGTTATTGGCTGCTCACTTCAGCAAAATACATTTAATGATATATTATGGTCACTGTGATATTTACAGAAGAAAGTTATCTAAGGAAATGCTGCTTCTAAAGCACATTTGCAGTTAACAGTAAGGTACCAGTTAAGTAGCTTTTGCTCTTAATGCTGAGGGATAAAAGTTCCAAAGCTTTATATGAATGCTGATGTATCCTGCCAACATATATGTGTGCGTGAGGGGGTGTTTGCGAGTGTGAGTGGATGTAATGTAATATAGCATAGTTTGAGTTCTTCTAACAATAGCTGTAGCACATGTCCCAACACACAACAACAAACAGAAGGCCTGCATTTTAGAGAATTTATGCCCACAAGGGAACCAGAGACCATTTTGAGGAGCTTTGTGTTCCCCATAGCCCTCCAAGTCCCAGGCTGCACTCCGTCTGCAGGCGGCAGCCTTTCAGCAGGGGCCGCGGTGGCCCGGGCTGCTGGCCTGGCCCCATCCGGCTGTGCAGGCTCCTCCACCTCCCCCTCTTCCTCCTCCTCCTCCCTGGCACTTCCCAGACTGCTGGCGAAAGGGATGTGCCAGGAAATGTATTTCCCAAAGGGGGTTACGAGGGACTCTGTGGCATGCTGGTCTGTTCCCCTTGAGGGGACCTGGCCCTCTGTATACTTCTGAGCGTGTGAATGGCTGCGTGGGGCAGCGTGTGTGTTTGGGCAGGAGAGAACAGAGAGCAAATGTGTGCACGTACTCAGAAACTAGAGGCACGCTGTCATCTTCCGACCCTAACCTTATGCCTCCGTGCATCAGTGGCCAAATATATCATTTAAGAACGAAGCTCAACTACGTCTCTTGAGAGCAAAAGAAGGGGAGTGTGGGGGCCATGCCCTTCCTCAGAATAAAAGGCAAACGATGCATTAGGAGCAGCGTGGGGGACGGGTGCCGGTCCTGCGTCGGCCGGACACTCGTATGTCTCAGCAACCACTCACATGAACTTCAGAGAACTTGGTTTTTCAGTGTGAGGTGCTGGATGGGAGCAGTTTGTTGCTGGCATTCTGCTTAGAAGCAGCGTGTTTGATCCCACCAATATACTTTTTTTCTTTTTTCTTTTTTCTTTTTTTATTAAGAGAAAGGAAAAGATCGGGCCTGTAAGAAGAGCGGATCTTTTTTTTTTGTTCTGTTTATTTGTTTTCTCTGTTGTTTATGCTGTGAGCCAAATGTCTATTTAAAAGGTTGGATATTCACTTTCAATATTTTATTTCACGATATTATATTTGTCAATTATTAGCTATCTAGATGTAAATATGGAAAAATTTTTATGGGTTCCTGTAGATAATGATATCTTTAAGAAAAAAAAAGAAAAAGAAAAAAAGGGAAAAGTTTTTTTGTAAAGCTAATTTTTTAAAAAATAAATACAAAAACATTTTTATACAGTGTAGCCATTTCCAAACCCAACAAATAAAGTCTTGAGTAATTTGTATAGACCCTTCTGGGAAGCCAGTGGTCTACAGGATCAAGGCTTTGAAATATTAATGCTCTTTGGGACTGGCAACACCAACCAGTACCACACAATTTAGAGTTTTGTTCCCACAAAAAGAATTATATATATAAAGTTCAGTATCTCAAAAAATAATTTGACTATGTATGCTTTTTATATTTTGATCCTGCAGCCCCTTGCCAAGAAGAGGATTGCTTGTGTGAGTAAGAATGCTTGTGAAAGGAAGAGTTTGTAGAAGTCCTTTCTATATTAAATTTCTGACATTTCATCCATCAGTTTTTGCTATTGTTACGCATTCACCGTATTTCATGACCCTATTGATGGATCCTCCCCAAAAATGTTGGAAAACATTCTCTATCAAAGCCAATCAGCATGTGTTATCACTTCACAGTTTCTTTTTGCTTTGCATTTCCATTAGAGTGAGCTTTTGCTGGAAAACAGGATTTTGGTTTCTTACAGGTTGCATTTGCCTGATACCGTCCCATCCTACTCTTACCAGCAGAGAAGGCATTTGCCTTTCGACAGAGTGACTCTAGAGCATGGCTCTGAATGCTCTTATCAGCAGAACTACTTAGTAAGTGTTTTTTCAGTGAAATCAGAAAAGCAAAGATCCAAATTGCACTATTATTTTAAAGGGAAAGGATATAGCAGAATTCATTCAAAAGAAAAAAAGATGTCTCCAAGATCTCAGCAAGTCTCCGCCAATTCCAGCTTGCACGGTTTTCACACCTCTTCAGTCACTTTGTTTAATCATTTTATTTGGGCTTTTCTTGTACAAGCGATACGCATACCTTATAGTATGAGTAGAATTTAATATGCCTCATTCTGTCCTTTAAAAATTAAACTTACAGAGATGCTTTAAAATGTCACATCTCCAAGCACTTTTTTCTCCATTTTCAGTGCATGATCACTGGGACTGGATTTTTTATATTGACTTTTATATTGCCTTTGCTAGAAGAAGAAAAAAAGAAGTTATTGCAGAAAGTGTTAGTGGGTGCCCAGTTGGTAAAATCATGAAGAGGCATTCAAGAATGAGGCGAAATCCTGCAAGTGGAGTTCCACATACTCCTCTAAGCAGGCATACACAGGGTTGAACTAAGAAAAATTATCCTGAAAATGTGCTGAAATGGAATTATTATATCTCTCCTAGTCATCATTTTTGGTTGCCAAAAGGTAAAATCAGTGTCAGCTTCTAATTTGTTAAGATTTCTTTCTGTATTGCCAATGCAGCTGTCACAAATTGTTACTGCCTTGCTACACAAGCCTGTTTGTGGGTGCAGTTTGATTAACTCAGGTCTTTTACAGTGAAGGAATTGCTGGCAGGCTTAAAGTCAGGATGATCGTTGATTTTATCCAAACTGGAAGGAATACCAGTGAAGAAGCTAAAGTAGCTGGGAGTGGTTAACTTGGTAAGAGGTGACTTCTTTTGCACTCCAAATAGTTACTAATAGAATCCAATTTCTGCAGGTGTCCACTCCTTATGAAACTGATTTTCAGTCTTTGCTGTGCATTTCTGGCAGGTAATGATCAGGAAAATTCCCAGGTTGGCTTAAATATAGCACAAAAGAAAATACCAGAGAGATTTTATATCAAATATGCGAATACCATTTTTTTGCTTTGGATTTTTTTAGTAGATAATGAAGCAGGTAATTTTTTTTTTTTTTTTTTGGGGGGGGGTGGGGTATAATAGTTTCTAGTCCAAAGGAGACAAAACTTTAGGCCTGCAGTTGCAGCAACCTTTTGGAGGCTAGACCTTGATGGTTTTCAGCTTTCTGCAGTCCTTTGGTGTTGCAAACCCCAAATAAACCAGTCTGTGCAATATTTTGGGGAAAAAAAAAGAAAGAAAGAAAGAAAGAAGAGAAAAATAACTGTATTCTATCAGCAAAGCGCTCAGATTTCAGGCGGGATGTTTACAATGTTGATATGGGTTTCTGGTATAGACAGTATGCAGAGAGGTTTGTTAGATACTACAGAAAGCAAGCCCTATTTAAACAGTGTTTTGCAGTAACAAAAAAATTAAGTATTTTCATTTTCAGTTCTTTAAAAACAAGAAGAGAAAGATTGGACTATTTTTTCCAGTTGGATATTTTGTTTTCTCCACTGTAATGTCACTTGGTGACTGATCCTGTTCCCTTCTAGTCCAGGAAAAGTTTGCTGTTCCCTTAAATAGGGGGCTTTTTGCAGTGCTTGCAGCTCCCAGTGCAGCGAGAAAAGCACTCTGCCCGTCACACAGCAGTCACATATAAACCCTTTTGTCCCCATATGCCCAGTTTGCTTGATAGTCACATGCTGTTTACCGTCGAATATAACTTCTCTCAATATGCTTGTGTTGCAGAAAGAGCACATGGAAGTAGAGAGTGTGAAAGCACCAAACCATTTATTTTATGACCTTTTCTTTGAGGAGGAGTCTGAGACTTTAGTTTCCAAGAACCCAAAAATGCCTGTGTCTAGAAGTAATAATTTCCACCATGTTCAAAGGGCCATAGTTTATTATTTATGTTGTAATTCTTGAGAGAACCTGGCATTTCTTGATTTGTTTTGAGCTAATGTACAGAGCACGTTGACACTCATCTCTGAAAATCATCTGCCTCCTCCAGAAGAAAGATGGTGTTTGATGCGATGTTGCAAGCCATGCGTCAAAAGTGTGTTGCAAGAATCTTCTAGGAAAAAGGGATTCTGCTGTGCTCTTGGCAGCATTTTGAACTCCCTTCCTCTGTGAGTGAAGTCCTTTACAGAAAGCTGGGGAAATGGCTGTGTGTCGCCAATGGTCTCCCCTGTGACCTTGTACAGGGTGCTGGCTCTCATAGCAAATGACAGTCACATTCTGGCAGTAAATGGTTCCCAGGGCAGATGTAATTTGAGAATGCATTTGTTAACAGTGCAAGGATAGTTGTTCATCAGTTTTTACCCTGACGTCATGGGTGAACGTCTCTCTGCATCATCATCAAGTTAAAATCCAAGACTGCAATTGCTCAGGACCTTTTGAGTGGATGCATTTGGGACTTTTACCCTTAGTGTACTACTCTTAGAAGTTCTTAAGATCCTGATGGTCTGAATTTGGAAGGAAGTTAAGTCTGTAAAGGTTCAGACAGATGCTTCTAAAAGTACCATTAGGCATCTAAGGAAATTCTGTACCCAACTCCCTTTTCATGCTTTCCATGCTGGACATTAAGCTCCTTTGAACTTCATGTCTTTAGAACATTTTTCTTTAGAAAGTTCTCCTAAATTTCTGTCTGCTTTTTAGTCACAAAAATTTTTCTGAAATTCTGGCCCCGTCTTTCTTTCTTCCTTCAGAAATGCCCCAGAAGGTAGAATGCAGTATGGAGAAGCCAAGGATCTTGCCAAACTGAGCATCAGTCAGTGGTACAGCCCATGAGGACTGCCCAGCCTGTGCCCCAGTCTGGGTGCGTTCACACCCAGTGCCATGCCCATGCTGCTGAGCCGTGAGCTGAGTAGGTGTGGGGTAGCTGTCAGTTTGGGTACTCGGCAGCCTGAGCCCCACCAGCTTTTAGTGGGACTTG